GTCCATTGGTTATGCATACATGCATATAAGTTCTGTGGTTTATCTCTTCCTACCCCCACCACCCCCTCTCCTGAGGGTTGTCAGTCAGTACCCTACTTCCATGTTTCTGGGTCTACCCTATTCCTCAGACTGTTACATTCATTATAGTCCATATATAAGTGAGATCATGTGGTATTTGTCTTTTTCTGCTTGGCTTGTTTCACTTAGAATAATTCTTTCCAGGTCCCTCCATGTCGTCTCAAAGGATAAAAAGTCTTTCTTTCTTACAGCTGCATAGTACTCTATTGTGTATAATATGTACCACTGCTTTTTTATCCATTCGTCTACTGATGGACACTTGGGCTGTTTCCAGATCTTAGCTATTGTAAATAGTGCTGCTATGAACATGGGGATACATGTATTCTTTCTGATTGGTGTTTCAGGCTTCTGAGGGTATATTCCTAGAAGCGGAATCACTGGGTCAAATGGCAGTTCAATTTTTAATTTTTTGAGGTAACACCATATTGTTTTCCATAGTGGCTGCACCAGTCTGCATTCCCACCAGCACTGCACTAGAGTCCCCTTTTCTCCACACCCTAACCAAAACTTGTTTGATGGTTTGTTGATGGTGGCCATTCTGACAGGTGTGAGGTGATACCTCATTGTTGTTTTAATTTTCATCTCTCTGATGATTAGTGATGTTGAGCATTTCTTCATATGTCTCTTAGCCATTTATATGTCCTGTTTGGAGAGGTGTCTCTTTAGCTCCTCTGCCCATTTTTTAATTGGGTTCTTTGTCTTCCTTTTGTTGAGTTGTATGAGTACTCTATATATTTTGGAAATTAACCCCTTATCTGATGTATCATTGGCAATGATGTTCTCCCATACAGTGGGTTGCCTTTCCATTTTGATGATTGTATCTTTTGCTGTGCAGAAGCTTTTGAGTTTGATGTAGTCCCATGTGTTCATTTTCTCCTTTGTTTCTGTTGCCTTAGGTGATGTATCAGTTAAAATTCTGCTGCATATGATGTCCGAAATTTTGTTACCTACATTTTCTTCTAGCATTTTTATGGATTCACGGGTCACATTTAATCATCAGACTTCTTAATGTTGCCAGCCTAGTGATTATATATCTCATTGTGGTCTTAATTTGAATTATCCTTATTTCAAATGCAATTGAGTATCTTTTCATATGTGTATTGGTCATTCGTGTTTCCTCTTCTGTGCAATTTCTCTTCTTGTCTTTTGCCCGTTTATCTATTAGGTTCTTTGAGGTTTTTTTCTTTACTCTTTTGAATGTGTTTTTTATATATTCCAAATATAAATCCTTTTTTTTGGTTATATGTGTTGCAATTATTTTTTTCTCCAAGATAGAGAAAAGTGGTTTGTTGCTTTCCTCTACTATGGTGTCTTTAAATAAACAGAATTTCTTAATTTTAAAAAGAACATATTAATTGAAGTATAAAATATATATAAAACATTTCAAAAACCTTTGAGATACTAATTGCAGTTGCATTAAATCTAAAGATTAATTTGGGGAAAGTTGACATCTCTATAACATTGCTTCTTCCTATTCATGTTTTCATAGTAAAGCTCCCCATTTAATGTATTTCAATCGTGTTATAGTTCTTTCCATTGAGATCTTGTGGATATATGTTAGATTTATTCTTAGGTATATCATATTTCTTTTGTCAAGTTTTTAATTCTGATGGTTGTCTTTGAGGTATCTCATTATGATTTTGATTTACATGTCCCTCTTGAAAAATTTTGTTGGGTACCTTTTCATATTCTTATAGGCCATCTGAATATCTTCTTTTGTGAAATGTCTTCAAGTGTTTTGCCCCATTTTTTTTTTTTTTTAATCCTCACCCAAGCATATTTTTCCATTTATCTTCAGATAGAGTGGGAGGGGGAGAGAGGGAGAGAAAGGTAGAGAGAAATATTAAGGTGAAAAGGACACATCAACTGGTTGCCTCTCGCAGGACCCCTACCAGGGCAGGAGACAAACCACAACCTAGGTCCGTGCCCTTGGCCAGAATCAAACCCACGACTCATTGGTTCACAGGCTGTCACTCTACTGCTGAGCCAAACCAGCCAGGACTTTTGCCCAATTTTTAAAACAGCTTGTCTTTTTCTTTTCATAGTTCAATGTATTTTAACAGCAAACTTACAGGAACAGCACAGAAGACAGATTACATTAAAGATATGTACTTGTGAGTCCTGGCCAGTTTTGTTCAATGGTTAGAGCACCCGCCTGTGGACCAAAGAATTGCAGGTTCTATTACCGGCCAAGGCGCTTGTACCTCGGTTGCAGATTTGATCCCCGCCCACTTGGGGTCCTATGGGAGGCAACCAATCGAAATAAATAAAAATATGTCCTTGTCGCCGTGGCCAGTGTTGCTCTGTGGTTAGAGCCCCACGCACCAATGGGTCAAGGGTTCAATTCCCAGGTTAACGGCATGTACCTGGGTTGTAGATTCGATCCCGTTATGATTGGGGTATGTGCAGAAAGCAACAATAATAACTACAAAAATACATGTACTTGTATAGCTTCTCCGCCTTTGGTCCAAGATCGAGCATAGAGATATGTAGTTATCAGTTTAACACCCAATATGTCCTCTGAGGACAGCATATTAAATGAATGAACTTTTGGAGCAGGGAGATGGACTAGGAGCGCGCTCCATCGGCGCTGTGCATCAACCCAATGCTGCAGTACCTCCAGGAACCCGAACGCCCCCTGGGGGAAAAACGGTTGAACACATTATAGAGAGTATTTACTTGCAGAGGTAAATACAGGGCTCACAAGTACATATCTTTTCCTTAACTCAGGGTGGGGTCGTGCTCTCCTCTCCTAGTGGATGGCTTCTCCTTGACTGTCAACAAGCTCACTGGGGAAATATTCAGCAGTTCAGTGGCATTCTAGCAACTAGTGTCCAGCTCTTTGAAACCCTCTTCCCAAGAGGGCAATGCACAGGGAAGGTCGGGAGGTCCAGCGGTTTGCGGTGGTCCCAACAAGGTCCGTGACTGGAAGTCAATTAACCAGGATCTAGAATCCCTGAGATGAGCGAGCATATGAGGCATACCTTCTACCTGGGACTACACATGTCCACCACCATGAGTCTGCTGACTTGTGTGCAGCCACCAGGACCAAGGACCAATCTCGTCACATCCTATCCCAGCAGATGTCAGTCTGCTTTACTTAGCCCTCCCACAGAGGTTGGCCCAGGCTGACACTTCTGATGCATAAGGCCTCTACAGGTTTTTTTTGTTTTGTTTTTGTTTTTGTTAATCCTCACCCAAGGATATTTTTCCCTTGATATTTTAGATAGAGTGGAAGGGAGGGAGGGAGAGATAGAGAAACATCTCACATGGATTGGTTGCCTCCCACAAGACCCCATGCCCTTGACTGGGAATCAAATTCCAAACCCTTTGGTCCACAGGCTGACACTCCAACCGCTGAGCCAAACTGGCCAGGGCGCAGCTGCTGGTTTTATTTATTTACTTATTTATTCATTTATTTTGAGTATTCTTTTAAAAAAATTTTTTTTCTTTATTAATTTTAGAGAAAAGAAGGAAGAGAGAGAGAGAGAGATAGAAACATCGATGAGAGAGAACATCATTGGCCACCTCCTGCATACCCCACACTGGGGATTGGGGCCACAACCTGGGCATGTGCCCTGACTGGGAATCGAACCAGAGACCTCTTGGTGCATGGGTCGATGTTCAACCACTGAGCCACACTGGCTGGGCGCAGCTGCTGGTTTTAAAGGAGTGTGCACTGCTTGTCATTGGGCCTCCGATTCAGACGAGTCAATTCCGGTTCCTTCAGGTAGCCCTGACCTCCCTCCCTGTGCCTGACTCATATGGTCAGGAACAAAACAGGTCAATGAGGTCCTACTGACCCAGGCCTTCCCTAATAGGGAAGTAGTTGTTCCTCTAGGTCAGCGATTTTCAACACTGGTGGCGTGAAGAATTTTTAAAAATATGCACTACCTGATTATTTAGCCAGGAACATTGACCTCTCTTTCCTTGGATTGTCAAATAAAAAAATGACAACATCTAACGCAGCAATAGTCATCTGGTGTGAGTAAATTAAAAACAAACAAACATGTACTTGCATGTAGGACAACTCAGAATCTGTATGATAAAAATGCTACAAACACCATTTAGTTGCCATCAATAAGAAATTGTGTGTGTTTTTTTAATCCATATACTAGCATGGTCCAGAACAATGTAACAGGTTTATTTATAATTGTTATAAAGTTGAAACTGCTGAAACTTGTTCACTAGAACACTCTGACTTGCATTAATGCTTTATGTCCTGCATTTATGTTTTAAAACTTCACACAGAAATGAAAATGGAAAAACTTCCAATACTTGATTTCTGTTTCCTATTTTCCACTAGTAATCACATATTTAGGTACTTTGACCCCTATGGTGTGTGTGTATGTGTGTGTGGGAGACCTAATGTTCAGAACTACCAATAACAAGAATAAGAAAAAAAATTTTAAACATTTTTTTCTTTATTGATTTTAGAGAGAGGAAGGGAGGGGGAGAGATAGAAACATCAATGAGAGAGAACATTGACTGGCCGCCCCTGCATGCCCCACACTGGGGATCAGGCCCACAACCTGTGCATGTGCCCTGACCAGGAATCGAACTGGCGACCTCTTGGTACATGGGTTAATGCTCAACCACTGAGCCACACGAGCCAGGCAAGAGAATTTTATTTAAAAAATAAATAAATTTTTTTTATCCTCATCTAAGGACGTTTTTCCATTTTCTTTTTGTTCAGATAGAGTGGGAGGGATAGAAGTAGGAAGAGAGAGAGAAAAACATGGATGCGAGAGACACATCAAGTGGTCACCACCCACACGACCCCATCCAAACATGCCCTTAGCAGGAACCGAACCCGGGACTCTGTTGCGCGGGCCAACGCTTTAACCACTGAGCCAAACCTGCCAGGGCCATCATAGTGGATTTTTAAGAATGTGCTAGCTGGATATCTTTTGGCATAATTGTTACATGTTTGGTATGGATATTGCACATAAGTTGGTGTTTTCAAAAAGGCCAACCAGATAGGCCTCACGTGCCTCCTGCAGAGTACCAATAGCTGCACTCTGGAAGTGTAGATCTGTTTTGAAGTCCTGAGCAATTTCTTGCTGAAAGGGGAGTTTGTGAATCAGAAGTTCAGTGGACTTCTGATAACTCCTAAATTTCACAATATACTACAGAACCAGGCTTATACCAATGAGGTTTCTTCAGCCCTCCAGTAGAGGGCGCACTCTTGAGAGCGGCTTTGGTAGCCAGCTTTGCTTCCTCTGTGCTTTACTACTGGTCAATTTGCCAGCAGTCTGCTTTGTACAAGCCATGGTATAGAGACCTCTTTACTTACCCCTCTTCTTTGGATGGAAATCCGTGAGCTAGCTGCTGCACTGCAGTGAGAGAGAGATGGATGCAAACACCAGCTTGTCTTTCTTACTGATTTGTAAAAGTTCTTTACATATTTTGGATTTGGGTCTTTTGTCAGATGTCTGTATTGTGAATATTTTCTCCCAGTCTTTGACTTGTATTTTTACTTTAACAGTGTATTTTAATAAGCATTAGTTTTTATTTAGATAAAGACCAGTTTATAAATTATTTCACAATTAGTGCTTTTGGTCATGTTTAAGAAATCTTGCCAGCCTGGCCAGTGTGGCTCAGTGGTTGAGCATCCACCCATGCACCTAGAGGTTGCTGGTTCAATTCCCAGTCAGGGCACATGCATAGGTTGTGGGCCGAATCCCCAGTGGGGGGCATGCAGGAGGTGGCCAATCGATGTTCTCTGTCATAGATGTTTCTATTTACCTCTCACTCTCCCTTCAAAAATCAATAAAAGAGCCCTGGCCAGTTTGGCTCAGCGGTTAGAGCGTCGGCCTGCGGTCCGGAGAGACCCGGGTTCGGTTCCCGCTAAGGGCACGTACTTAGGTTGCAGTTTGTCCCCGGCCCTGGTTGGTCGTGGGGGTGGCAGCCACTCGATGTGTCCCTTCACATCGATGTTTCTCTCTCTCTCTCCCTTCCTCTCTCTCCCTCCCACTCTATCTGTACAAAAAAAAAAAAAAAGGAAAAAAAATCAATAAAAGAAAAAAAATGTTTAAAAAGATTTCAGTGATCTATTCCTTGAAAGATCTGTCTCTTGACTATGAAACTGTTTTTGGCTTAGTGTGTTTTGTTTTGTTTATAGAAATATTAACTACTGATTCTATTTCTTTAATAGGACCATTCAGACTTTCTATTTCATATATATATATCTTAAAGAATTTGTCTTGTTTGCTTATTTATTTATTTATTCATTTATTTTTTTTTTTTAATGGTAGCAGTGTGGTTTATTAAGTTGTGCCCTAGGACAAAAATATGGAATGTGTCATCCTTGCGCAGGGGCCATGCTAATCTTCTCTGTATCGTTCCAATTTTAGTGTATGTGCTGCCGAAGTGAGAACTTGTTTGCATTTTTTAAAATTACTGGCATTAAGTTGGGGTACTATTCCTTTATCTTTCTAATCACTGTTCTTTCTGTAGTTAGCTCCACTTTTCTTTTTCTTTTTTTGTTGACCAAATACAAAAGTTTATTTAACAAAAATTCAATGTGAAAATGGACATGACTTGATTTTTATTAAAAAATTATTTATTTATTTATTTATTTATTTTGAGAGAGGAAAGGCGAGGGAGAGAGAGACAGAAACATTGACGAGAGAGAACATTGATTGGCCTCCTCCTGCATGGCCCACACTGGGGATCGGGCTCACAACCTGGGCATGTGCTCTGTGAACCAGCGACCTCCTGGTACACGGGTCGATGCTCAACCACTGAGCCACACCAGCCAGGCTTTTTTCTTTTTCTTTAAAAAATTTTTTTTTCTTTATTGATTTTTTTTTTTATCCTCACCTGAGGACACCCTTGCATTTATCTTGAGATAGAGCAGGAGGGAGAGAGGGAAAAAGAGAGAGAGAGAAACATCGATGTGAGAGAGACACATTGAGTGGCTGCAACCCAGATGACCCCAACCGGGGTCAAACTGCAACTGAGGGGTTGGGGACAAACTGCCACCAAGATATGTGCCCTTAGCGGGAACTGAACCCAGGCTTCTCTGATCTGCGGGCTGATGCTCTAACCGCTGAGCCAAACCAGCCAGGGTGATTTATTTTATTTTATTTTATTTTTTTTTAAATCCTCACCCAAGGACATTTTTTGTTCAGATAGAGCGGGAGGGAGAGAGAGGAAGAGAGAGAGAGAGAAACATCGATGTGAAGGGACACATCGAGTGGCTGCCACCCGCACGACCAACCAGGGCCGGGGACAAACTGCAACCGAGGTACGTGCCCTTAGCGGGAACCGAACCTGGGTCTCTCTGTACCGCAGGCCGACGCTCCAACCGCTGAGCCAAACAGGCCAGGGCTATTTTATTTTTTTTAAAGAGAGGAAGGGAGAGGGAGAGACGACTTGATTTTTATATTGTAGTAAAACAGGTGCTGTGGAGAGGGGACATGTGGAAGCAGTTGATTTCTTTGGTGAATACAGCCATTCTTTTCTTTTCTTTTTTTTTATCCTCACCCGAGGATATTTTCCCATTTTTTGTACAGCTAGAGTGGGAGGGAGAGAGAGGAAGGGAGAGAGAGAGAGAAACATCAACGTGAAGGGACACATCGAGTGGCTGCCACCCGCACGACCAACCAGGGCCGGGGACAAACTGCAACCGAAGTACGTGTCCTTAGCGGGAACCGAATCCAGGTCTCTCCGGACCGCAGGCTGACGCTTTAACCGCTGAGCCAAACTGGCCAGGGCAATACAGCCATTCTTGATACTCGTTCGAAAGCTTCTAACATGATGATGGAATTTCCTGGTATTACTACCATTTCAATATTGTTCTGTTGCCCATTAGTTGCCATCTTCACGCATTCATCTGTCACAGGATTCATAAAGGACTCAAATCCCTGCAATATTCCTTGGATATGTCTGCCACCATTTAATTTCACTATCTTTAAGGCCATGATCTTAACCCCTACAAAATTCAAGTACTATGTGAGTCAGATTTTTAGTCCTTGTCTATGTCCCTTTGACGATAACTTCTTGTCCACAAAATTTTTTAACTTGGGAGGGGTAGCTTTGCTCATGGTGTCTAAGCGAGCTAAAAGATAGCTCCAGCCCTGGCCGGTTTGGCTCAGCGGTTAGAGCGTGGGCCTGCGGTCCATGGAGACCCGGGTTCGTTCCCACTGAGGGCATGAGCCTCGGTTGCAGTTTGTCCCCGACCCTGGTTGGATCATGTGGGTGGCAACCACTCAATGTGTTCCTTTCACGTCGATTTTTTTTTTTCTCTCTCTCTCTCCCTCCCACTCTATCTGAACAAAAAAAATGGAAAAGTGTCCTCAGGTGAGGATAAAAAAAAAAAAAAAGATAGCTCCAAACATAATCCGTGGCCTCTCTTAAACTCTCGTGTTATGCCTGGCTTTTGCGTCTGATGTCACTGACCCTTCTAGCCCATTGATTCGTTAGCTCCACTTTTCCATTCTACTTTTGTTTGTGACTTCTTTCTCTTTCTCTCGTTTTTTTAATCCTCACCCAAGGATATTTTTCCTTGATTTTTTAAGATAGAGTGGGAGGGAGGGAGGAAGAGAGCGAGAGAGAGAAACATTGACTGGAGAAAGACATGGATTGGCTACCTCCTGCCTGACCCTGACCAGGCCCGGATTGAGCCTGAAACCAAGGTACATGCCTTTGACTGGTAATCGAACCCATGACTTTGGTCTGAGGGCTGATGCACCAACCACTGAGTCATACTGGCCAGGGATCTTTATCACTCTTATCAGAGGTTTATCTATTTTACTTCCCTAAAAAACAGTTGGCTTTATTGATCCTATTTTATCTGTTTACTACTTCACTGATGTCTGCTTTATTTATTTTTATTTTTTAAAATATTTTCTTTATTGATTTTAGAGAGAGAGGAAGGGAGAGAGAGAGAGAGATAGAAACATCGACGTGAGAGAGAACATTGATTAGCTGCTTCCTGCATGCCCCCCACTGGGGATTGGGCCCACAACCTGGGCATGTGCCCTGACTGGGAATCAAACCAGCAACCTCTTGGTGCATGGGTTGACATTCAACCACTGAGCCACACAAGCTAGGCTAATTTCATCTTTATTACATCCCTCCTTTGGTTTTCTTTGGGTTTGTTTTGTTGTTATATCTCTAACCTTTTAAGTTGGCATAGCTCATTAATTTTCAGCTTTAAAAATTTTTAGTATAGCCCTGGCTGGTTTGGCTCAGCGGTTAGAGCGTTGGCCTGCGGTCCAGGAGAGGCCCAGGTTCGGTTTCCGCTAAGGGTGCGCACCTCGGTTGCGGTTTGTCCCTGGCCCTGGTTGGGTTGTGCAGTAGGCAGCCGCTCAATGTGTCCCTTTCACATCGATGTTTCTCTCTCTCTCTTTTCCTCTCTCTCCCTCCCACTCTATCTAAACAAAAAATAAAAAAATGTCCTCAGGAGAGCATAAGAAAAAAAAAATTTCAATATAAGTATTTTAAGGCTACAAATTACCCTTGAAATACCACTTTGGCTATCTCCCACAAATTTTGTTCTGTAGTATTTTTATTATTGTGGTTATGAAGTATCTTTAAATTTCTATTATAATTTCTTTGACCAGTAAGTTTATTAAAAAGGATGTTTTAAAATTTCTAAGTCAGAGATATTTTCAAAAGTTTAAAAATTTTTTTTGAAATATTACATACAGAAAAGCATATAAAACTTATCCATTACATGCACAACATAGTAAAAACTAGGAAGTAAACACCCATGTAACCACCCACTTTAAAAAAAAAATGAGCCCTGGCTGGTTTGGCTCAGCTGTTAGAGCGTTGGCCTGCGGTCCCGGAGAGACCCAGGTTCGGTTCCCGATAAGGGCGCGTGCCTTGGTTGTGGTTTGTCCCTGGCTTTGGTTGGGTCATGCGGGTGGCAGCCACTTGATGTGTCCCTTTCACATCAATGCTTCTCTCTCTTTTTCTCCCTCCCACTCTATCTGAACAACAACAACAACAACAAAATGGAAGGGTGTCCTTGAGTGAGAATAAAAAAATAAATAAAAGAGACTAACCCCCTTTAGAACCCTCCTTCTCCTGGCAGAGATGACCCTTTTCTTGACTTTTGAGATGGATTTTCCTTGTAGATTTACCACCTTTATATGCATCTCTCAATTAGTTTTGCCTATTTTAAATTTTATATGAACATAATCATACAGCATATAAGTCTTTGTGTCGATTCACTCAACTTTATGTTTGTGAGATTCATGCATATTGTTGGGTGAGCTGTGGTTGGTTCATTTTTTTTCTTTATTGATTTTACAGAGAGGGGAAGGGAGAGGGAGAGAGAGATAGAAACATCAGTGAGAGAGCACATCGATTGGCTACCTCCTGCATGCCCCCACTGCAGATTTGGGCCACAACCTGGGCATGTGCCCTGACCGGGAATTGAACCGGTGACCTCTTGGTACATGGGTCTATGCTCAACCACTGAGCCATACCAGCAAGACTCTGTAATGAATTTATACATCAAAATACTACTCAACAATAAAAATGAACCAACCACAGCCTGGCCAGTGTGGCTCAGTGGTTGAGCATCAACCCATGCACCAAGAGGTTGCTGGTTCGATTACTGGTCAGGGCACATGCCCAGGTTGTGGGCCAAATCTGCAGTGGGGGGCATGCAGGAGGTGACCAATCGATGTTTCTATCTCTCTTTCCCTCTCCCTTCCTCTCTTTCTCTAAAATCAATAAAGAGAAAAAAAATCATCACAGAGTCTTTTTAAAATATGTTTTTATTGATTTTCTAGAGAGAGAGGAAGGGAGAGAGAGATAGAAATATTGACATGAGACTGCAACCCGGGCACGTGCCCTGACCGGGAATCGAACCGGGACCTCTCAGTTCATGGAACAATGTTCAGTCCACTGAACCACACAGACTAAGCTGTTTTGTTTTGTTTTTTATTACTTGTCTGGCCTCGGTAGGTTGAGTTTGTTTTCTCTGGAAACCATTCAGGGTAAATCTTTTCTAAGATGTTTTTCAAATTAAGGCAGCCTGGGCTTGAATTGCCCAGAGTGGTGACTGGTAACTAGCAGGAAGAACTTCCCAACTATTTCAAGTGGAATATCCCAGATATGGGTTGTGATGAGGCCTGAAAGGCATGAGGCCCTGAAGAAGGGCCATGCTGTGTAGGAAAGTGAAAAGCATAGGGAGCGGGGGAGATAGATGAAGCCTAACCTTTGTATGAGGATTCTTGACGTGATTCTAGGGTCAGGATTCCTGTCATCCATCTGTTGGCCCTTTGGACCACTCAGCCACTGGCATGCTTTCCAAGTCTGTATCCATGAGTGGCATCAATTGCTTCTTGGGTGGCTCAGATCCAGCTGGTGAGTCAATGTGGGGAGCAAAGCAGTGGTAGCCACTCCCCTTGTCTGTCTCACTACCATTCCTCAGGGCAAGCTGTTTAGGGTTCAGACCTATCCTGGGTTATGTCTAACTATAATTTGGGAACATTTTAGAAACCCCAAAATGCCTTTATTCAAATGAGAGATCTGAATTCAGGACTCAGGCATTCTGACACTCTCCTTCCAATGAAGGAGAACATAGGACAGCCTGAGGCTCTCCAGCTTCCCTTATCACCAGAGACAGAGGACAGTTAACCACATTGTACCTTGTCCTCAAGATGAGGCATTGGGAGCTTACTGTGAAACCCTTGTGCTCCCCAATTACTAGAAACAGGACTGAGACACTGGGTCCCCAGCCCCCTTCTTCACATAAACCTGGTGCTCTGTTTCCCCGGTTTCTGAGTTCTTTAGCTCTGCTCAGACCCCGCCCTCCCTCCCTACTCCCCAGAGCTCACCCTCAGGAATGGCGTCACATGCACCTGCAGCTTGGGAACCTGATCCAGGTGGAGAGGGTGGGGGAGGCAGCCCTGGACGCCTTTGTCTGGCTTCAGCTGGACACTTCTCGTCTCCTTTTGTGTTGGCAGGAAATTTATCCCAGTCCTCTGCTGCCAACCTCAGCCAAAGGTGAGTTTGGGGAGATTTTTAGTCCTTCAAAGACCCAAATGGGGGAGGGGCAGTGCGTCCTACAACATTGCTCCCCTTAACACTTCTAATCAAAGACCTCCAAATATCTTTCTCCCTGGGCTGCATAGAATTGACCCTCTTCTCATTGGCCAGGGAAGGCTCTGGAAGGTTCCTGGTAGTCCGTGGGATGGGGAAGAAATTAAAGAAAGAAAAGGAGTATCCAGACCCCAGGGTGTCAGTTAAATAAAAGAGAGTGGGAGCTGCTGATTGTTGTCAGTGCCAGAAAGGTGAGCTGGCAGATGGGCTGTTGGACAGTCTTCGGGAGAGACAGTGACCCAGGACCATGGATCATCTTTGGATGGCTCAGGTAATTGACCAATGGGGAGTGGTTCTAAGGAGAGCTGGGCAATACCTCTAAGGAGAACACTAAGGGGAGAGGGCAGGGGCTGAAGGCATAATTCAGGAATCTGCATGGAGGCTGGGAGATTTTAATAACTGTGTCAATACGCATGCTAAATCAGCACCTGTTTATTTGGCTCGTACAGCTGAAACCTGACTGGAGTGGGTCAGCCCTCTAAGACAGTGTGGGTGTGAGAGCTAGTAATGGGCCCTTTAAGATATCAGGCTCTGATTTGTGGTCCTGAAAATCTCTAGCTGACACATCCTCCTGGCTCTGGCTTTGGGATTAGCTCATGGGATAGGGCTGATGAAATCCCAGGAAATTCAGCCCTTATTGGCTTTAGGCCCAGAGGCCCTTTCCAAAAGCAGAGAGGGTCGTACACAGGGCTCTTGTTTTAGGAGGGAAAAATGCCACCCCAGAGAGCCCCCACCCCAGATCACTTCCGTTGGAAGCAGCAAGAGAGAAGAGATTGGGCCTGGATTAAGTAGGGGGTGGGTGGGTCTGCATTTATCTGGGAGGAGCGTGCAGTTTTCCTCATAAATAGAAGGGCCTGGGAAACTCGAGCGTCCACATCCAGGAAGTCCTTGGAGGTGGGGGACGTGGGAGTAACTTTCTCTTTGAGCCCTTCCTCTCTCTTCCTCACCCTTTCTCTGAGTCTTTCTCCTTAACTCTCCACTC